CAGACAATGACATTGTCCGTTCTCCTCAACGCCCCACGTTCAACGGTCGAATTGATGGTTCAATAACTTCAACCACGTCAGAACCACCATAGTTTCCGCTCGGAGCGGCGCTCGTAGCAGCGCCGGCTCTCTGGCCTGAACAGTATACTTCCTGTCAAGTCCGAGGAATTGGGACTAGGTTTTTTTTTTTTTTTTTTTTTTTTTTTTTTTTTTTTTTTTTTTTTTTTTTTTTTTATGTTATTCGATCCGCCATACTAGATCTCAAACAAGCCTGCCGCGCTTCGGCCGCCTTGCCTAACCTGAGCTCTGATTGTCAACGAGCTACACTACTAAGAAAATCGGATCGAAGGGTCATGCATATGGGCCGTGAATCCGTTTCTCCTCCTCTCCCCACCCCACGCCTGTGTGGAAAAGAAATGTCCACTCTTATTTTTCACGCTGCCGTTCGGTTATTTCTGACATCTGACTTCACTCGTACGATCTGACGCTGAGGAAAACCCTTTCCTTCTTAGGCTATTTCCTTGAGTTGCTGGTGAGAGCAGCATTCCCCATAGTACGTCTACTACAGTGTTACAGAGGAACGGCAGTCCGCAAATGTTGCTGCCTTTAATATGTTAATGCTGGTTTGGAGAACCTTGGTTATCAGGCCAGCAGCAGTTGTTTGACGAGATCCATTGCTCCACTGACAGAGAGTAGAGTCCGCAGTGAGAGTATTTTCTGCAGAGTATTTTCTGCAAAAACAGAACGCAGCGAGAGGAGTCTGGGCACGCGGACTTCGTGATCTGCTGAAAACAAAAATCTCAGCCAACGTTTTTCATCACTCCAGTTCAGTTGGCGACGGTTTCGAGTTGATATAGGAGTTTAAGCTTAAAAAATGCTGGCGGCAGCTCGTTTTCCAGGTTCAGCAAGGCACGAGGCACTGTCTCATAAAACATCAACGAGACTTAGTAACTTGTTCCCGGCGGTCTCTATTGGAAGAATGGCGTCGGAAGCAGCTGGCTTTCAAAATTCAACAACTCCTTCTCCCATGTCGAGCCTTCCGATCTCCGACCTTCCAGAAACGGACCTTTCAGGGTCGGAACTCGGGACTTCAGAAGCAGAGAATGGTTGTCCTGCATGGAACGGAAGAACGAGTCAACCCTTCAGCCCGTGGTGGTGGTATCGTCTTTCTGGTGGTAGCAACCAAGCCTCGTCTGACTGGGTTGGTGATCCGGCTTCAAACGTCCTGGAAACAGCAGCTGCTGCTACTCAGAAATCAAGCTCTGTTTCAGGATCTGATTCTGATTCTGATTCCGATTTGGCATCTGACGCTAATCCCGATGGTGCACATTGCCGCAGAAGCGATCTCACCACCGCTGCTGCTGCCAATCCTCCCTCTCCTAAGGTGCCTTCCCAGCTGTTGGGAGGGGTCAACAGGAGGTGGTCCCTTGGAGGGGTTACCAGCAGCGGCGGAGGAGGGGGGGGAGGCGGTGGTATGGTAACAGATAATCTGGATATGCTGTGCCTTCAGAGTAAGCTGAGCCTGCTGGAGTCCCAGCGCGAGCAGAACGCAGTGAGATGCCAGCAGTTTGTTGACATGCTGCGGTTCGCAGCAGAACAGGCCGGGGAGGAGACGACCGCGGAGGATGCTAGGACAGGAGAGGTTGTGGGGAAGAAGGAGAGGGTTCCATTGCCTGTTGAGGGTCTGGCTTGGGGTGGTCGGCGGCGGTTAAATCGTCGCCGGTCGACTTCGGATTTGTTGGAGGCGAGAAGGCGCGCTTGCGCTGCTGGCTTGGCTGCTGGCCGAGTTGACCGAGTTGACCTAGCTGGCCTGCCCGGTTGCTGTGCTGCTCGAAATCGCATCGACTGCGTGTCACATGGGCCGAAAGGGTCCGACAACTCCTCAGTCTCCTCCGAAGCACCTGAGAGATCACCTGAAGAATCACTTGATGGGAGTGAAGACTTTACGACACGTGGCGCTTCAGGTGGAGTCTGCTCTCGTTCCTGGACGACGGGCAGGTTAAGTCAAGCTTCACTCTCTGCCACTCTTCACCAGCACTTGGTTAGCAAACCCATGGAGCGGAAGCTTCGTCGCGGGAGAACCCATGATGGGAGGACCCATGTGGAGAGGAACCATGGTGCAAGGGTTCATGACGGGAGATCCCGGCGCAGCTCCAGCCAGTGTGCTTCGTCATCGCAATCGTGTTTCTTGCAGCGCAGACAAAGCTCAAGCCCTTCTCTGGCGAATTTTCCCGGATCACCTCTGGCCGGTTTGGGTTCAAGCCCGTCTTTTGAGGCGCCTCAAGAGTCGCAGCCCCGCTTCTTGCAGCGCAGGCAGAACTCAAGCCCGTCTCTGGCGAATCTCAACTCGTCACCTCTGGCCAGTTTGGGCTCAAGCCCATCGCTGGCGAATTCCACCGGATCACCTCTGGCCAGGCCAAGTTCAAGGCTGTCGTTGGCGAATCTGAACGCACCCTCGGCCAGTTTGGGCTCAAGCCCTTCTCATGCCAATCTGAGCCTGAGCCTGTCCCTGTCAAATTTGAATTCCTCTTTGTCCGGTTTCAGTCTGAGCCCCTCTCTGACGAACATGGAGGCTGTGGAGAGCAGTGACGAGGAGGAGATTGACGATGCGAGGTTGTTTGGGCGGAGCCGAAGCAGCAGTGTCAGGCGCAGCAGAAGCAACGCCAGGAGAAGCAGCAGCATCATCCGAGCTCATTCTTCTTTGAGACTGGGATCGAACGCTGAGCTGCAGCATTCTGTTTCCAGCCAAGCTGAGCTGGCGGACCGTCAGCGGTCAATTAGAAGGTTGCCATTGGACACGGACAGTTGCTTGGCTGCTGATAGAAGCATTCGACGAATTCCCTCGTATGGCCTCTGTCTCCCACCTCCCACCCTTGGACTCCCGGCGGCAGATATTGGAATCACGATCCCCTTCGAGCCCTATACGGTCGCACACGTATCCGAAAGAGCATCGGGATGCGGTACGTCGAGGCATGAGAAGCTACCAAGGAAGAACCGCCCAGACTTATCCGGTACATAAGAGCATGGGTGTGGGTGGCCAAGGGGATGTGTTTGCTCAGCTGCATGATGACCCATGATGTGTCACGACTCACGAGATTCATCCTGGTTCGCCTGGTTCATACGGTACAACGGCATGTGACCAGGCTATTCTTAGGCGCCTTTTTATCCAAATGCAGGGCAATGGTGCGAATGATAGCAGTTATGTATGTAACAGGCCACTTGATGTATTAAATAAGTTGGCATGCAATTTATCTGTAGAACAGATTATTAAGTTAGAAATACTGAGCAGCTCGAATGGTTGGGAGCTAAAGCTTCGCATCTGTACCAAACCGGGTCACACATATACTAGTGCCAATTGTCCAAACTTTGGTATGCCTGCTTGATTCTCGAGTGGCGAGCACTGCTCTGCGAGTCCGAAATAATGACCCAGCCAATCGCAGGAGGTCTTCCAGGCTTGTCGTGGGCTTATTGATTGGCTGAACTCGCCGGCCCCTCGAGGCACTCGTTGAAACTCTCTCAGGTTCTGAAGGGCGTGTTTTTTCAGAAACTGGTCGCTGCGATTCATTTGTCTGCTTGTGACTCCGAACCAGTCTCACGTCGAGTCTCATAAGTCGTGTCACGTCAGAACTCTCGCCACTAAAGATGACCCTTTGTACGTGTATGTGTACGTGTACTTGCACTTGTACGTGTACCATCTATGGTTGTTCTTTCCTGTCGAAAACGGAGTAAATTGCACAATCAGCAGAAACTACAACTCCAGCTTTCCCGCCAACTCACGGACCTGGCTTCCCATTCCCATCATAGAGCTGAGAGTTGTGTCACAGCAACACAACTCTAGTTTCCTCCAGCAGTAGGCGAGCATTGTACCAATCGACCATTCTAATTAGGGTAGTGAAGTTGTTAGCGTATGGGACGCCAAGCTGGTATCTCCAGCTGGTTGATCCTCTTGCGCGGTATCTCAAGTTCCTTCGTCGCGTTTTGCCTGTAACGTTCTTACAGTATTCGTGTTTCGCCTGCTGCTACAACATTGAAAAAAAAAAAAAAAAAAAAAACCAGTTCTTAGGATCGTAAGCACCTTAGTCAGCAATAGTCTACTTGCTATCGCCTATCGTGTTCTCCAATGATATGCGCAGCTCTGCTTGAAGTTGTCAATACACACTTCAGCAATTTTCAGAATCTGATTGGTATGATTTCCAGAATGAGTACAAGCAGTTTTATAGTCAGGCAAGACACAAAATGCGATTCGTAACTTCACTTGTTTCCCAAGTAACCGCGTGCGCCTCGTTTCACCCCGAGTCGCACACACAACCGAACCGAATTCAGTGAACACCCCTCAAGACCGAATCTGGAACCTTCTCGAACACGCCTCGAGCTCGAACCACAATTTCCCCTCGCCAACTTCAATCTCGATGCTTCTTCCACCTTCTCACACATTCCTTCTCGATTTCTCTCTCCCTTCTCACGCCGTAGGCCGATTTCCACCGTTTCACCTAGAATCATCCACGCGCTTCCATTTCGCCGTCATTCCGCCGTCGTAGAGACTTTCGCCTTAGGTTCCGTGGTTGGGCGAACCAACCCTAACACAATCGACCATTCTAATTAGGGTAGTGAAGTTGTTAGCGTATGGGACGCCAAGCTGGTATCTCCAGCTGGTTGATCCTCTTGCGCGGTATCTCAAGTTCCTTCGTCGCGTTTTGCCTGTAACGTTCTTACAGTATTCGTGTTTCGCCTGCTGCTACAAGCGGTTCGCTATTGTCGTTTCGGCTACTGTCGTTTCGGCTGGCATTTTCTTCTCCTGAACCTCAACTTCGACGCCGTGCTTTCATTTCTCCCACTTGATGCCGTAAATCGTCCCGAAAACTTAAAATGGTACGAGCAAGCTGAAGGGTGTGATCGGTGAAAATGTCAGGACGCCTCGGAGGCGTTACCAATGCTACTCCAGAGATGCTCTTCCGTTTTTCCGTGTTTTTTTTAAAGAATTGCAAAATCATGTTTCAAAAATGGACCTAGATGGAGTTCACGAGGTCTTGATTAAGGATTCGTCGCGATCTCTCAGTTGTCTCGGGAAATCAGTCGATTGAACGATCCAAAATGTCTCCGTTATTAGTGTATCCGCATCTAGGACAGGAATGTCTCTCGGAAGGCCCTTTGAATTTCTGAATTCGGATTTGATGCGCTCCTAGAATGGGAATGTTTCTCAGAAGTCAACAGCCGAAATTCGAATCCGGCATTTTTCGCACCAATCCAACATTTTCCAGTATTTCCATCGAAGACATGAGTAGAAACGGCTCGGAAACTGAGCACATTCGTGTCGACTCGCCGCTCTAATGGCTTATGCACAAGACGGACATTGCGTATCTGATCTAATTTGAACTCTTAAGGGATCGAAAATGTAGACTTGAGGTGTCTGGGAGGATTGGTACGTGCCTTAAAGAAACCCAGCGCCGGAGAAGATTTAGCCTTCAATTTCCCTCCCTTCCGTTTCCCACTCTCGCTGACGCCCCAATCAATCCTCTTCTCCTCCCCGTCACACTCTACTCTCTCAACCCTCCCCCTCCCATCTCCCGTCTCTCTCAACCTTACCTCCTCCTATCTCTCTCATCCTCTCCCCGCACCCCCTTTCCCTCCCCCCTCCCCCCTCCTCCCACCTTTCTCCCGCTCTCCCTACTTCCGTATCGCATTTCTTGCCCGGCCAGGGGGAAGTGACAGCACCAGAGGACGCGTGACTAGGATACTGTGAGACGACTCATAAGAATCCCCTCCCTCCGTTCCCCCACATTGATCAATTCCCTCTTGCATTCCTTGCCCGGCCAGGGGGAAGAGACAGCACCAGAGGACACGTCAGCAGGAGCGGAGGCCGCGCGCTTCGTGGTGGGGTCCAGGATATGGGTGGCGCATGAGAAGGCGGCGTTTGCTGCAGCTGAGGTCACGGCGGTGCAGGACAATGGGGAGACCGTTGAGGCCATTCTCGTGGATCCCAAGGGGGACGACAAGGTGGGTAAATCACCCTGGAAAAGACTGTGGGGGGAGGGTGCAAGATATCGTGGCGCATGAGAAGGCGGCGTTCGCTGCAGCTGAGGTCACGGCGGTGCAGGACAATGGGGAGACCGTTGAGGCCATTCTCGTGGATCCCAAGGGGGACAACAAGGTGGGTAAATTACCCTGCGAAAAGTTGTGGGAGGGTCCAAGATATGGGTGGCTCGTGAGAGAGCAGCGGTTTCTCACTGAAAACGCATATTTCTTACGCCGCGATTGCCCATCCTCTCACCCCCACGCCTCTCTGCAGGTGCTCATCCATGCTGGGAGTGCTTCCCCAGGGAGGAGGACGAGGAGAAGATGAAAGGGGAGGCTGGTGATATCATCTGCACCAGTGGGCTCACATCCCGTACCCTCACCCCCACGCCTCTCTGCAGGTGCTTATCCCCGCTAGGGAGTGCCTCCCGAGGGAGGAGGACGGGGAGAAGGACCCCACGGACGGACGATATGGGAGGCTGGACCACCTGCACGAGCCTGGTGTGCTCTGATGTGATGTGAGGTGCCTCAATACCCCACGCAAGTCACACTTATCCCCCACCTTCGCCCTGGCCCTTTCTACAGGTGCTCATCCCCGCGCGGGAGTGCTTTCCCAGGAAGGAGGACGGGGAGAAGGACCCAAAGGACGGACGATATGGGAGGCTGGACCACCTGCAAGAGCCTGGCGTTGTGATGGGACGTAATGGGATGTGATCTGATGTGTTGTTCCTCAAGACTCCAAACGACTCACGAATGGTTTCTACCTCCACCCACACCCGTTTGGCAGGAGGACGAGGAGAAGGACCCCAAGGATGACATGGTGAAGCTGGACCACCTGCACGAGTGTATTCGCATCCCAGTACCCTCCCACCCACTCCCACGCCTCTTTGCATGTAGGTGCTCATCCCCGCGCGGGAGTGCTTCCCCAGGGAGGAGGACGAGGAGAAGGACCCCAAGGATGACATGGTGAAGCTGGACCACCTGCACGAGCCGGGCGTGCTGCACAATCTCAAGCGGCGCTACGTGCGCAACGCCATCTACGTGAGTGGTAGTGCTTGATCCCAAGGTGGCGGTGCTTGCAAAGGCTGGTGCCTCAATAGCTGGACCACCTGCACGAGCCGGGCGTGCTGCACAATCTTAAAAGACGCTACGTGCGCAACGCCATCTATGTGAGTGGTGCTTGGTGTTTCCATGCAAAAGCTGGTGTGAGATGCCTTACAAGCTGGACCACCTGCACGAGCCTGGCGTGCTGCACAACCTTAAGCGCCGCTACGTGCGCAACTCCATCTACGTGAGTGCTTGCGCTTCCTGTTAACGCCATCTACGTGAGAGTGGTGGTGCTTGTTCTCAAGTTGGTTGTGCTCCCAAAGCCACACTCGTCACTCACGTGCCTGAGCCTGCACGGGCCTGGCATGAGATGCCTCAAAGCTGGACCACCTGCATGAGCCCGGTGTGCTGCACAACCTCAAGCGCTGCTACGTGAGTGGTGCTTGCTCTCAAGGTGGCGGTGCTTGCAAAGGCTGGTGCCTGCCTCAATAGCTGGAGCACCTGCACGAGCCCGGTGTGCTGCACAACCTCAAGCGCCGCTACGTGAGTGGTGCTTGCTCTCAAGGTGGCGGTGCTTGCAAAGGCTGGTGCCTCAATAGCTGGAGCACCTGCACGAGCCCGGTGTGCTGCACAACCTCAAGCGCCGCTACGTGAGTGGTGCTTGCTCTCAAGGTGGCGGTGCTTGCAAAGGCTGGTGCCTCAATAGCTGGACCACCTGCACGAGCCCGGTGTGCTGCACAACCTCAAAGGCACATCTCATAACCCCCTTGCTTTATCCTCTGTCTACGCTTTCCTACTCCCAACCCACCCCCTGCAGACGTACACAGGCACCATTCTCATCGCAGTCAACCCCTTCATATACCTGCCAGGCCTCTACCACCCGCAGCTCAAGAGCCAGTACCGCAACGTGCCGCTGGGGCAGCTCAGCCCACACGTATTCGCCATTGCGGATCATGCTTACAGGTATGTGTGTGTACGTGTGTATGCATATAGTCTCACTTACACACAGACCTCGGGTATACAGGTTCAGGCCTGTACCACCCACAGCTCAAGAGCCAGTACTGCAATGTGCCTCTGGGCCAGCTCAGCCCACACGTGTTTGCCATCGCTGACCATGCTTACAGGTAGGTGTGTCTGTGATGAGTGGGGTGCGTGCACCTGTACGTACCCTTATACCTCAACCTCCTTAACTCAGCCCTGCTGTTTTCTTCCCCTCCATCCATCCCCCCACTCACTCCATCCCTTCCATCCAATCCAACCACATTCCCACGCACTCACTCCCATGCTCACACGCACTCCCACTCTCACACATGCACTCTCTCACACACGCCCCCACGCAATTTTAGCACACAGGTCCATGAGGGAGGCAGGGCGCAGCCAGTCTGTTTCAATCAGTGGGGAGAGCGGTGCTGGCAAGACAGAGACCACCAAGCTGGCCATGGAGTACCTGGCGGGGGCAAGGGTGGCGGATAGGGCCCCACGTACCCTGCTGCCCTTAACCCCCCAGCCCCTCACTCCGTCCTTCTCCCCCACCGACACTCACACTCCCGTAGGTCCATGCGGGAGGCGGGGCGCAGCCAGTCGGTGCTGATCAGTGGGGAGAGCGGTGCTGGCAAGACAGAGACCACCAAGCTGGTCATGGAGTACCTGGCGGGGGCAGGGGTGGCGGATAAGGCTGCTGCTGCTGCTGCTGGGGCTGCAGGGGCTGTGGGCATGGGGGGCGGGAGGAGAGGGAGGCGGGGAGGGGTGGAAGCGGTTGTGTCTGCTGAATCGACCCAGTGTGTTGAGAGAGTGCTGCAGGTGAGTGGGGTGTGTCTGGAGCGGGTGTGGGGTTGAGTGTATGGCTGAGAAGGAATGGACACTCCTCCCCTCCCATTCTTTCCAGTGCAGCTCAATCTCTTTCCCCAGACTCCCCCACTCAAACACGCCCATCCCATTTCCTTCCTTCACTCCCTGCCCTCCTCATCCTCCTCTGCTGCTCGCCCCCCTCCTTCCCTCAACCCCCTCGTCCTCCCCCTTCCGCAACTTCCCTCGTCCCCCCCCCCTTCTCACTTCTCCACCCCAGTCGAACCAAGTGCTCGAGACGTTTGGGATCGCCAAGGCAGTGCGCAATAACAACTCATCCCTCCTTGTCCTCTCAATCCCCCCTCCCCATCACCCTCTTCCCAACCCCTTCCCCCCTTCCTCCCTTCTCCTCCCAGTCGAATCAAGTACTGGAGACGTTTGGGAACGCCAAGACAATGCGCAACGACAACTCATCGCCCTTTCCCCTCATCCCCCATTGCCCCCTCATTCCCCCCTCTTTCCTCATCCCGCCTACCCCCTTCGTCCCCCTCCTTCCCTCCTCCACCCCAGTCGAACCAAGTCCTGGAGACGTTTGGGAACGCCAAGACAGTGCGCAATAACAACTCGAGGTAAGACCCCTCCCAGGCTCCTCAACAGGGGTTGCAGGGGTGGCAGAGCAGTCTCTTTTGTAAGTGAGGTTTTCTTTCATTGAGGTTCTCTTTGACAGTAATGGCATGGTGACACGAGTGGCAGGGGTTGCCAGGGTGACAGGGTGACAGCGATGGCAGGGTGGGAGGTGCAGGCGCTTCGCTGTCACCCACCTTCTTCGCCTTGGCAGCGATGGCCAATTTGTACAGCCCCTTCTTCTGATGCGCTTTAACCAACCCTCGCACTCTTTCCTTTCCACGCCCTCTGCTGCCCATTATTTTCCAACCCCTCCCCCCCCTCAACTTTTCCCCTACCTGCCTTCCTCCCCCATCCCTCTCCCTCCAGTCGTTTGCAAGTTCACTGAGATTTACATCGACAGCAAAAGCAGGGTGACAGGTGACCCTGATACACCCGTCCCTTCCCATCCCACCCCCTCTGCTCTGCCCATTCTCCCCTTCTGCCTCTGCCCAATCGTTCCTTTTGCCCCAGTCGCTTTGGCAAGTTCATTGAGATTCACTTTGACAGCGATGGCAGGGTGACAGGAGCAGCCATTCGGTTGCCAAAGCCCCTGCTGAGCACCCTAAACTAACCTTGATACACCCTTTCTTCCCACACTCTCTGCCTTCTACCTCGCCCCCCAGTCGTTTCGGCAAGTTCATTGAGATTCACTTTGACAGTGACGGCCGAGTGACAGGGGAAGCCATTCTCCACGCCCTGTGCTCTGCCCATTCCCAACCTCGTCCCCACCCTCTCTCCCCCACCCCTCGCCCCCCAGTCGCTTTGGCAAGTTCATTGAGATTCACTTCGACAGTGATGGCAGGGTGACAGGGGCAGCCATTCTCCACGCCCTGCGCTCTGCTCATTCTCCATCTCACCCCCCACCCACCCCTCGCCCCCCATCCTCATTCCACGACCCCTCTCCCGCCCACCTCTCCCCCACCAGTCGCTTCGGCAAGTTCATTGAGATTCACTTCGACAGTGACGGCAGGGTGACAGGGGCAGCTATTAGATCGTACCTGCTAGAGCGGTCCAGAGTGGTGCAGATCAGTAGCCCTGAGCGCTCCTACCACTGCTTCTATCAGCTGCTCTATGGGGCCACACCCGAGGTGAGTGAGTGAGTGAGAAAGTGAGTGGAGGGAGAGAGTGAGTGAGTGAGGGTGCTGTGATGGTTTATGTGTGCGTTTGAGTCAACCTTCTTGGTATGAAGTGGTGCAGCTTTATCGCTCCAAGTGCTCCTATCACTGCTTCTATCAGCTACTCTATGGGGCTACACCCGAGGTAAGCGAGTGAGTCAGAGGATTGAGTGATTGAGGGTGTTGTGATGGTGTATGTGTGCGTTTGAGTCAACCTTCCCGGTCCAGAGTGGTGCAGATCAGTAGCCCTGAGCGCTCCTACCACTGCTTCTATCAGCTACTTGGGCCACGCCCGAGGTGAGAGGACTTTTGAGTCGCCTCAGAAGTCACTTTCGTAGCCCCGAGCGTCCTATCACTGCTTCTACCAGCTGCCCTATGGGGCCACGCCCGAGGTGAGAGTGTGTGTGCGTTTGAGTCGACCTGGTTAAGAGTGGTGCAGCTTTCTAGCCCGGAGCGCTCCTATCACTGCTTCTATCAGCTGCTCTATGGGGCCACGCTCGAGGTGAGAGAGCGAGCGAGATAGTGAGTGAGCGAGTGAGTGAGTGAGTGAGGAGTTATAGAGGGAGTGAGTGAGGGAGTGAGGAGTTATAGAGGGAGTGAGGGAGTGAGGAGTGAGTGGGAGTGGGCGAGGGAGTGACGGGGAGAATACGCTTGTCAGTGCGACTTTTGAGAATACGCTTGTCAGTGCGACTTTTGAGAATTCTCAAAAGTCGCTCCAGAATACGCTTGTCGTTGGGCTGAGCTAAGCTAAGCGTTTCTGCCTCCCTTTCCTCGTTCCCTTTTTCCCTTTTCCTCCCTCCATTTTTGTCCACACGGTAAGAAGCAGAGAAGTATTTCCTCCTCACAGAGGTTGAGGCTTGAGCGTGCTTCAAAGCTCCTCTGGTTGACGTAGAGCAACTGTTACGAGCTATGCACCTCCTTCTCCCTCCCCGTTGCCCCTTTCCTCCCTCCCCTATTCCCCCTGCCCTTATTCTTTCCCCCAAACCCTCCCCCCTCCCCCAACCCCCCTCAACCCCCCGCCTCCTCTTCCTTCCTGTCCACACGGACCACACCACACAGGAAGCAGAAAAGTATTCTTTGCCCACAGAGGGAGAGCGAGGAACAAATTTTTACTACTTGGCGCAGAGCGACTGCTACGAGCTGCCCGGAAAGAACAGCAACGCGATGGAGTATGAATCGACACGCAACGCTATGAACGTGATGGGGTTCGACCCACGCGAGCAGGTGGGCCCAAGGTGTTGATCAATTTGAAAAGGCCCGCATGAACAGGTGAGAACTAGGTGCTGACTTTTGAGTCGACTCAAAAGTCACGTGATGGGGTTCGACCCAAGCGAGCAGGTGGGCCCAAGCGGGTGATGAATTCAAAATGACCCTCACACTCCCTCTCGCCCGCCCTTGCTTGCACTCGCACGCACGTCGGCGCTCTTGCATGCCCGCTGTGCCATGCCATACGACTTGCTGATGGGGTTCGACCCGTGGGAGTGAGTGGGTGAGTGCAAGGATGGGAGTTGTGGGCAATGGGCATGGGCTGTGGGCTTCGAGTTGACTCAAACACACGCGGGAGCGGGTGAGTGCCCACAACCCTGTGCCCTGTTTCCCCATTCATTCCCCCCACCACCAGGAGGGCATACTCGCAGTGGTGGCAGCGATACTGCATCTGGGCAACGTGGAATTCATTCGACCAGACCAGAGGGCACTGACGGGACAGCTGTTGCTCATGCTTCTCCCATTGCCGTGCCCCATTCCTTCATCACCCCATCACCCCATTCCCCACCACCAGGAGGGCATATTCGCAGTGGTGGCAGCCATCATGCATCTGGGCAACATGGACTTAACGCAGCCGGAGAGCACGGATGGAGCAGGGCAGGGTGGGCAAACAACAGAGGGCAGAGGGCAGAGGGCAGAGGGCAGAGGGCAGAATCAGCTTGCCTTGGTCATGCGTTTGGCCCTTTCCCCCAACCCCCTATCTCAGGAGGGCATATTCGCAGTGGTGGCGGCCATTATGCATCTGGGCCATGTGGACTTGACGCAGCTGGAGAGCACGGCTGTGCCGTGCTGTCGAACATGTTCGTGTTCGACCCGCCGCCGCCAAATGACCTTGTCGAACGACGAACGTGTTCGGGCGAACACCGAACATGTTCGCCCCTAACGATTTAGGCAAAAAATAAGCCTGTTCGGTTCGCCTCGAGCGTTCGTGAAGTTGCTCAACCCTAGGTTGGACTCACGGGAGCGGGTGGGTGGATGCAAGGGGGTGAGTTGTGGGGATTGGGCATGGCTGGGCTGTGGCGTTCACCCAGCCGGAGAGCATGGAGGGGCGGGGCAGGGGAGACAGCAGAGAGCACAAATCAGGGAGCAGTGAGCGGAAAGTAGCACCCCTTGATCATGCTTTCGCCCCACTGACTCATTCCCTCATTCTCTCGTTTCCCCATATACTCCCCAACTTATTCCCCCACCACCAGGAGGGCATATTGGCAGTGGTGGCTGGCAGCCATAATGCATCTGGGCAATGTGGACTTCATGCAGCCAGAGAGCACGGATGGGACAGGCGAGCAGCCCTTCACTCATGCTCCTCACACCTGCTCTTCCACTCCTGCTCTTCACTCGTGCTCATTGCTGCCATCTCCCCCATCTCAGGAGGGCATATTTGCAGTGGTGGCGGCCATTATGCATCTGGGCAACGTGGACTTCATGCAGCCAGAGAGCACGGATGGCACAGGAGAGCTGCCCCCTCTGGTGGCAAAGAACGACAAGGCAGAGGCTGCAGTCAAGACTGTAGCACGCCTGCTCGAGTAGGTTTCGCCTGTGATGTGGGTGGTACTTGGGAAGGGGCCATGCGGTCAGCATGGGTGGGATGGGATGAAAAGCCAGGAGAGCAGCCCCCTCTGGTGGTATTGAAATCACTTGTGAGAATTCTCAAAAGTGATTTCAATGAAGCCAGAAGAGCAGCCTCCTCTGGCGGCAAAGAACGACAGGGGGTGGGCTGTATGCTGCTGTCAGTGTGGGTGGCATGGAATGGCGAGCAGGAGAGCAGCACCATCTAGTGGCAAACAATGATGGGGAAGAGGCTGCAGTCAAGACAGTGGCACGCCTGCTAGAGTAGGTGGAGGGGAGGGTGCCTGTTGTTTGGGTGTTACCTGGGTAAGCGACGGGCGGTACTGTGCTTTCATCAGGCGAGCAACCTCTCCTGGTGGCCAAGAACGACAAGGCAGAGGCCGCAGTTAAGACTGTGGCTCGCCTGCTTGAGTAGGTGGAGTGGAGGGCATGGCATGGCTATGGAGTAGATAGTACCTGGAAGGGGATGGGCCCTCACTCGTCGTCCTCGTCGCTCCTCCGCCCACCTTCTACTCCTCATCCCCTTCCCCTCCCTCCTCAGGTGCGACGAAACCGCGCTGTGGGACTCGCTGGTCTCTCAGACGCGCAAGTTCGGGCGGGAGGTCATTAAGAGCCCGCTGGATCCCAAGAAGGCGGCAGTCAAGCGAGACACCCTCGCCAAGTTCCTTTACTCGCGCCTCTTCGACTGGTGGGTGCCTCCTCCAACCCCCGTGTCCTGTTCGAATGGTGAATGCTTGAGTCATATCCACAGCACCAAGCGAGACACCCTAAACCCTTAAACCTGGTGAGCTCGCCGTCCCAACCCCTTCTCTCGTTGAGTTTTATCCCAGTTCATGTGTTCTGTTCTTGATTGAAGAAGGGTTTTGAGACGTCTCAAAACCCTTCTTCAATCACGTGTTTATCCCAGTTCATGTGTTCTGTTCTTCCACTGCTCCTCCCGTCCCCGCCACCAGGATTGTGTCAAAGGTCAATGAGAGCATCAGCCAGGACCCAAACCTCCTTGCTTCTCCTCACTAGCATGCCCACCTTTTACTGCTTCCACTCTCTGTCTCTCTGCCACCCTCTCTCTGCCACCCTCTCTCTGCCGCCAACAGGATCGTGTCAAAGGGTCAATGAGAGCATCCAGCAGGAAGGATCCCAACCATGCATCGGGCGGGCCCTGTCATCTCACTTCCCTTGCCACCCTGAGTTGATTCCACTCTCTGTCTGCCACTCTGCCTCCCGCCACCAAGATCGTGTCAAAGGTCAACGAGAGCATCGGCCAGTACCCCAACCATACGCCTCCCTTTGTTGTGCCTTTGCTCTCCGTCTGTCTGCTGTTCTGTCTGCCAGGATTGTGTCAAAGGTCAACGAGAGCATCGGCCAGGACCCCAACCACGCGTCCATCATCGGAGTCCTTGATATTTATGGCTTCGAGCACTTCAAAGTCAACAGGTGTGTGTGTGTGTGTGTGTGTGTGAGCATCGGCCAGGACCCCAACCACGCGTCCATCATCGGAGTCCTTGATATTTATGGCTTCGAGCACTTCAAAGTCAACAGGTGTGTGTGTGTGTGTGTGTGTGTGTGTGTGTGTGTGTGAGCACTTTAAAGTCAACAGGTGCGCATGCGTGTGTGTGTGTTGGGGAGGGGAGGGTGCGTGCGTGTGTGTGGAGTCGACTCAAAGGAAACCACGCGTCCATCATCGGAGTCCTTGATATCTACGGCTTCGAGCACTTCAAAGTCAACAGGTGCGTGTGTGCATGTGTGTGTGTGTGTGTGCGTGTGTGCATGTGTGTGTGTGTGTGTGCGTGTGTGCATGTGTGTGTGTGTGTGTGTGTGTGTGTGTGTGTGTGTGTTGGGGAGGGGGTGCATGCGTGTGTGCTGAGTCGACTCAATACAAACCACGCGTCCATCATTGGAGTCCTTGATATTTATGGCTTCGAGCAATTCAATATCGACAGGTGTGCGTGCGTGTGTTGGGGAGAGGGGGGTGGGCGGGGAAGGGTGTGTGTGTGGAGTCGACTCAAAGAAAACGACGCGTCTATCATTGGAGTCCTTGATGTTTACGAATTCGAGCATTTCGAAGTCAACAGGTGCGTGCACTTTTAATCGAGGGTGCGTGCACTCATGCTTGTTGAAACCTTTGTCTGGATTGGATTGCCACTCTTGTGGACTTACTGCTCTCGTTTGCCACTCTTCTTGCCCAGTTTCCTCCTGTTTCGTTTCTCCACCTATTTCTGGCCCCCCTCTTCACCTGTATGTTTTCTCTCTCCCCTCTCTTCCTGCTCTTCTCCCAAACGTCTTCACCCCATACTCTTCCTTCTCTCCCGTTTCTCACGCCCAGTTTTGAGCAGCTGTGTATCAATCTCACCAACGAAAAGCTGCAGCAGCATTTCAACTCGGTAGGTCACTCACCAGAACCTACCGAGCAGAATTTCAGGCACTTGGGCTGGGACAATGAAGTAAGGGGTGTTTCTGTTTCTCTGTGCTTTCCCTTTTCCTTCGTCCCCTTCTCTTCTGCTCTGTCCCGTGCTACTACTCAACGTCCTGCCATTATCCCTTCCCACCTCTGCCTGCAAATGGCAGAGTATGAGGCAGAGGGCACAGACTGGTTTGATTCACCCACTTTCCCCCACCGCAACCACCCACTCCCAGAAAAAACACCTCACGCCACCCCTCAACATCCCCCACTATCCCTCAACACCTACCCCCACTCCTTCCCACCACAGCATGTGTTGAAGCAGCAGCAGGAGGAGTACGAGGCAGAGCCGCAGAGGGCATAGACCTGTGTGCGTCGCTCACTTCCCCAATCTTACCACCATACCCCCACAACCCCTTCCCTTCCCCCCCATTTCTCCACACACAGCACGTGTTGAAGCAGCAGCAGGAGGAGTACGAGGCAGAGGGCATAGATTGGTCTCGGATTGATTTCGTTGACAACCAAGACGTGCTCGAGCTGGTTGAAGGGGTGAGTGAGTAGAGGGGGCGTCTGTCTGAGAAGCCTAAAAAACCCGACTAGTACGAGGCAGAGGGCATAGACTGGTCTCGAACTGATGGTCTCGAACTAATTTTGCTGACAACCCAGGCGTGCTTGAGCAAATTGAAGGGGTGGGTGAGGGGTGGTTTCTTCTTTGTAGTGAAGGTAAGAGACGAATTTCCTGGGGCAGGGAGGAGGAGGGGGGATAAATTTTCTGGAAGAAATTGAGATCATCTGTTTCTTTTAGTACATTTGATGCAATCTGCTTTGGATTCCTCTGTTTCGCTTGCAGCAACAGCTGGGGCGAGCGGGCTTCGCTTATGTGCATGTGATGCGATGCTTCTTGCTCTCTGGTGCTGGTTCGTCGAACCTTTTCATGCATGTATGTGCGCATGTGTGCATTCGTGCATGTGTGCATGTGCCCATGTGCGCATGCGTGTATGTGTCCATGCATGTGTGCATGTGTGTGTGTCCATGCATGTGTGCATGTGCGTGTGTGTGCCCATGTCCCTGGACTCATGTGTGCCATTCCCTGGACTCATGTGTGCCATTCCCTGGACTCATGTGTGCCATTCCCTGGACTCATGTGTGCCATTCCCTGGACTCATGTGTGCCATTCCCTGGACTCATGTGTGCCATTCCCTGGACTCATGTGTGCCATTCCCTGGACTCATGTGTGCCATTCCCTGGACTCATGTGTGCCATTCCCTGGACTCATGTGTGCCATTCCCTGGACTCATGTGTGCCATTCCCTGGACTCATGTGTGCCATTCCCTGGACTCATGTGTGCCATTCCCTGGACTCATGTGTGCCATTCCCTGGACTCATGTGTGCCATTCCCTGGACTCATGTGTGCCATTCCCTGGACTCATGTGTGCCACTCCCTGGACTCATGTGTGCCACTCCCTGGACTCATGTGTGCCACTCCCTGGACTCATGTGTGCCACTCCCGGACTCATGTGTGCCATTCCCTGGACTCATGTGTGCCACTCCCTGGACTCATGTGTGCCATTCCCTGGACTCATGTGTGCCATTCCCTGGACTCATGTGTGCCATTCCCTGGACTCATGTGTGCCATTCCCTGGACTCATGTGTGCCATTCCCTGGACTCATGTGTGCCATTCCCTGGACTCATGTGTGCCATTCCCTGGACTCATGTGTGCCATTCCCTGGACTCATGTGTGCCATTCCCTGGACTCATGTGTGCCATTCCCTGGACTCATGTGTGCCATTCCCTGGACTCATGTGTGCCATTCCCTGGACTCATGTGTGCCATTCCCTGGACTCATGTGTGCCATTCCCTGGACTCATGTGTGCCATTCCCTGGACTCATGTGTGCCATTCCCTGGACTCATGTGTGCCATTCCCTGGACTCATGTGTGCCATTCCCTGGACTCATGTGTGCCATTCCCTGGACTCATGTGTGCCATTCCCTGGACTCATGTGTGCCATTCCCTGGACTCATGTGTGCCATTCCCTGGACTCATGTGTGCCATTCCCTGGACTCATGTGTGCCATTCCCTGGACTCATGTGTGCCATTCCCTGGACTCATGTGTGCCATTCCCTGGACTCATGTGTGCCATTCCCTGGACTCATGTGTGCCATTCCCTGGACTCATGTGTGCCATTCCCTGGACTCATGTGTGCCATTCCCTGGACTCATGTGTGCCATTCCCTGGACTCATGTGTGCCATTCCCTGGACTCATGTGTGCCATTCCCTGGACTCATGTGTGCCATTCCCTGGACTCATGTGTGCCATTCCCTGGACTCATGTGTGCCATTCCCTGGACTCATGTGTGCCATTCCCTGGACTCATGTGTGCCATTCCCTGGACTCATGTGTGCCATTCCCTGGACTCATGTGTGCCATTCCCTGGACTCATGTGTGCCATTCCCTGGACTCATGTGTGCCATTCCCTGGACTCATGTGTGCCATTCCCTGGACTCATGTGTGCCATTCCCTGGACTCATGTGTGCCATTCCCTGGACTCATGTGTGCCATTCCCTGGACTCATGTGTGCCATTCCCTGGACTCATGTGTGCCATTCCCTGGACTCATGTGTGCCATTCCCTGGACTCATGTGTGCCATTCCCTGGACTCATGTGTGCCATTCCCTGGACTCATGTGTGCCATTCCCTGGACTCATGTGTGCCATTCCCTGGACTCATGTGTGCCATTCCCTGGACTCATGTGTGCCATTCCCTGGACTCATGTGTGCCATTCCCTGGACTCATGTGTGCCATTCCCTGGACTCATGTGTGCCATTCCCTGGACTCATGTGTGCCATTCCCTGGACTCATGTGTGCCATTCCCTGGACTCATGTGTGCCATTCCCTGGACTCATGTGTGCCATTCCCTGGACTCATGTGTGCCATTCCCTGGACTCATGTGTGCCATTCCCTGGACTCATGTGTGCCATTCCCTGGACTCATGTGTGCCATTCCCTGGACTCATGTGTGCCATTCCCTGGACTCATGTGTGCCATTCCCTGGACTCATGTGTGCCATTCCCTGGACTCATGTGTGCCATTCCCTGGACTCATGTGTGCCATTCCCTGGACTCATGTGTGCCATTCCCTGGACTCATGTGTGCCATTCCCTGGACTCATGTGTGCCATTCCCTGGACTCATGTGTGCCATTCCCTGGACTCATGTGTGCCATTCCCTGGACTCATGTGTGCCATTCCCTGGACTCATGTGTGCCATTCCCTGGACTCATGTGTGCCATTCCCTGGACTCATGTGTGCCATTCCCTGGACTCATGTGTGCCATTCCCTGGACTCATGTGTGCCATTCCCTGGACTCATGTGTGCCATTCCCTGGACTCATGTGTGCCATTCCCTGGACTCATGTGTGCCATTCCCTGGACTCATGTGTGCCATTCCCTGGACTCATGTGTGCCACTCCCTGGACTCATGTGTGCCACAACTGCAAAGGCATGGGCCCATTCCCCTCTCTCCCTGCGTCTCTGTACCCCTGTCCCCCTCTGCGCACGTGATTGCAGAATCAAGGTATTCTTGCACTCCTGGACTCTGCCTGGTACGTACCATACAAGGCATTCAGTGCATATACGCAGTGATAGCTTTCGAAAACCCCCTACCTACTGGTTTCTTGTGTATGCGCTCTGAACATTCTATGAGCCTCATCAAACCCCATGATCTCGTTCACCCATCCTTCTGTGTGTTCGATCCTTTGCACGATACTTCTGTATCGTTCCTGCCATGAACGATACTTCTAGCCAGCTTGTCACCCTGAGCCCTCCTGCTCTCTTGCCTCTTCTCCCAACCGCCCCTGCCTGCCGCACCCTCCCTCCTTCCCCCCCCCCACCAGCAAGCTAGACAGCTCCACGCCTGAGACCTTCTGCCAGACGCTCTACAGCACGCTGGGCAAGCACAAGCGGTTCTCCAAATCCAAGATGTCGCGCTCTGACTTTAGTGTCAAGCACTATGCTGGCAAGGTGGGGAGGTGGTGGTGGTGGGTATGGGATGTTTTGAAGGGGTTAAGAAGACCATCTTGTGTTCGGGTGAGAAATGGGGGAGTGAGTGAGGGACGAGGCAGGTGTGTGAGATGTTTCAAGCACAAGCGCTTCTCCAAGTCTAAGATGTCACGAGCTGACTTCAGTGTGAAGCACTACGCTGGCAAGGTGCGAGGAAGGGAGGGTATGGGACGGACGTGCCCCCCTTTATTAGGGGTTCATGTCATGTGCGAGGGAGGGACAGTGGAGGCGTGTGAGGCATGTGTGTGAGATGTTTCAAGCACAAGCGCTTCTCCAAGTCCAAGATGTTGCGTTCTGAGTTCAGCGTGAAGCACTACGCTGGCAAGGTGGGGGGAAGGAGTTGGGGTGCTTAGATTGTAGGGAGATTGGAGGGAATGCCGTGGGTGGGTGGGTGGGGTTGGCCGCCCACCCTGTATTAAGGGATCACATGGGAGGGAGGGGAAACGGAGGTGTATGAGATGTTCCGAGCACAGGCGCTTGTCCGGGTCAGGTGGGACAAGCAGAGGTCCAAGATGTCGCAAGCTGAGTTCAGTGTCAAGCACTACGCCGGCAAGGTGGGGGGCGAGGGGGGGTATGGGACGCCCTATATTGGCGAGGAGTCATGTGAGAGGGATGAGAGGGATGCCTGAAGTCAACATCCCCTACCCCCACACCCCTCCCCACATCCACCTACAGGTGAAGTACGAGGCGGAGGAGTTTCTGGTGAAGAACCTCGACGCGCTCGTGCTCTGGCTCTGAAATCTTGCACGCATTGACTCGTGCCATTTCTCCCCTTCATTCTCCCCTTCATCCCACTGCAGGTGAAGTACCAGGCAGAGGAGTTTCTGGTAAAGAACCTCGATGCCCTGGTGCCGGAGCATGAGGAGCTGCTGGCACGGTCGCACTCTGCCTTTGTGCGAACGCTCTTCCCACCGCCCGAGACCGGGAAGGCAGGGAAGGCCGTGTCCCTGGGGAAGAGGTTCAAGGTGAGAGGCTGGGGGTGATGAGGTAGGTGGAGTGAAGATGTATGGGGCTACGTGGAGTGAGTGAGATGCTATGGGGTTATGTGGAGTGAGAGGGGATGGTGGTGGGGAGAGCAAGGCGAGCACGAGGAGCTGCTAGCTCGCTCCCACTCTGCCTTTGTGCGAACGCTCTTCCCGCCGCCCGAGACTGGCAAGGCGGGCAAGGCCGTGTCCCTGGGGAAGCGGTTCAAGGTGAGGGGAGCATGGGGATGAAGCATAACAAGGTCTAGTGGTCAACAAGGTTATGCCACAACAAGGTTACTATGCATGTTTTTTGAGAATTCTCAAAAAACGAAGGCCGTGTCCCTGGGGAAGAGGTTCAAGGTGAGGGGAGCATGGGGAGGAAGCACAACCAGGTCTAGTGGTCAACAAGGTTATCCCTCAACAAGGATACTATGCGTTTCACTTCACGTGTTAAGGATATAGGTGGGCTTTTCTGGTGGGCTTGCTGTCATCGGCTCCTCTTGCCTTTCCCATCCCTATCCCTCTCCTCCCCACATCCCATATCATCCCTCCCCCTCCCCAGGAGCAACTGGGCGAGTTGATGCGCACGCTCAACGCAACCGAGCCGCACTATGTGCGGTGTGTGAAGCCCAACAAGGACCTCAAGCCGCAGAAGTTCTCCAACACGCTTGTGGTGGAGCAGTTGCGATCAGGGGTGAGCGGGGCAGGCAGGGCCCATTGGGTCAGGTCAGGGGTGAGTACCGCTCAGGGGTGAGTACCGCTCAGGGGTGAGTACCGCTCAGGGGTGAGTACCGCTCAGGGGTGAGTACCGCTCAGGGGTGAGTGCTCCACAGGCTATCCCCTTAGCAAGCACCTCTCGCTCGTCTTTGTCGTCCCTTTTTGTCCCGCTCCACCCCCCTGTCCCTAATGCCGCTCCACCCCCCTGTCCCTAATGCCGCTCCACCCCCCTGTCCCTAATGCTGCTCCCCTCGTTTCTCCCAGGGTGTGCTAGAAGCAGTGCGACTTTGCTCCACATGCTACCCGGCTCGGCGCACTTGTCCCCACTGACCCTCTGCGTCTTTTGAGACGTCTCAAAAGTTGTCCCCACTGACCCTCTGCGTCTTTTGAGACGTCTCAAAAGTTGTCCCCACTGACCCTCTGTGTCTTTTGAAATGTCTCAAAAGTTGTCCCCACTGACCCTCTTCGTCCCTGACCCTTCTCCTCCTCTCCTCTCCCCCCAGGGTGTGCTAGAGGCAGTGCGACTTTGCTCCACGGGCTACCCGGCTCGGCGCACGTTTGAAGACTTTGAGGCACGGTTCAGCCCGCTGCTGCCGAGCCAAGAAAGAAAAAGGTGAAACTTGGATGTTGCAGATGAGTTTTGAGAATTCTCAAAGCGCACCTGCAAAACGAGGTGATGCTTAAGAGACATCGCAGCAAGAGGCTTTGAGGCGCGGTTCAGCCCGCTGCTGCCGAGCCAAGACAGAAAAAGGTGGGCGGCAGGGGGGGAGGGGTGCGATGGAGGGAGAAAGGGGTGGGCAGCACCATGGCAGGAAGGAAGGGGTGCGATGGAGGGGGAAAGGGGTGGGTGGCAGGAAGAGCTCCCCTTTCTCCTTCCATGGCAGGAAGGAAGGGGTTGGCAGAAGAGGAAGGAGGAAGAGTGCTTTCTTGCTATTTCTTCATGCCTGCCTTGCTCCACACCACAGGGTGTATATTGTGACGAATCACTCTGTGTGTGTAACCCTTCTCATCCCACCATCCAATCATCCCAACATCTCTGCCGTTCCACCATCTCACCTTCCCACCTCCCCACCACCATCCCACCTTCCCACCTCCCCACCACCATCCCACCGTCCCACCTCCCCACCGTCCCACCATCCCACCTCCCCACCACCATCCCACCGTCCCACCTCCCCACCTTCCCACCTCCCCACCTTCCCACCTCCCCACCTTCCCACCTCCCCACCTCCCCACCATCAATCCTTCCCATCCCACCTCCCCACCTTCACCCTTTCCATCATCCCCCCATCTCACCATCCATCTGACAGGCTAGCTGGGCAGCAGCAGGAGATGATTCGTGCAGTCATGACCCACAGCTCGGGTAGGGGTATGGCGGCAGGCAGAAACACTGCTCATCCTACCCATACCACCATGCCTTCCCTTCCCATTCTCACATGGTCATTCTCCTACTTTCCCAACACCCCATCCCACCGCCTGACAGGCTAGCTGGACAGCACCAGGAGATGATTCAAGCAGTTATGGCCCAGGCAGAGCTGGAAGACTATCAGGTGAAATCCCAGGTTGTGTCAGGTGGATTCAACATTGCCAGGTGAGCTGGTGTGACATCAGGTGACATCAACGTCAGGTGGTAAACTCCGACTTCCAAGGTGCTCACAAAGGGGGTGCAGCTGGTGACGCTCGAATTCATCCCTTCTCCTACCCCCCCACTCTCCGCTCTTTCCCTCGTTTTGTTTGTTTCCCCCTTTTTTCATGCCCCAATCCCCCTCCCTCAGGTCGGCCGCACAAAGGTGTTCATAAAGGAGGTGCAGCTGGTGACGCTTGAGTTCATCCCTTCTCCTACTCCCCCGTTTTCCGCTCTTTCCCTCCCTTGTTTGTCTCCCACCCCCTTCCTTCATGCCCCAACTCCCTCCTTGCTGACTTTTGAGTGGACTCAAAAGTCAGCCCTTCCTTCATTACCCAACTCCCTCCTCGCTGACTTTTGAGTGGACTCAAAAGTCAGCACTTCCTTCATGCCCCGATCCCCTCCTCGGTCACACCAAGGTGTTTATGAAGGGGGTGGAGATGGTGACGCTGGTGCTGATTCCTCCTCCCCCTCATCCCTCGTTCCCTCTTATCCCTCGTCACCCCAACTCCTCCCTCAGATCGGTCACACCAAGGTGTTTATGAAAGGGGTGCAGCTGGTGACGCTGGTGCTGATTCCTCCTCCCCCTCCTCCCTCGTTCCCCTCTTATCCCTCGTCACCCGAACCCCTCCCTCAGATCGGCAAGACAAAGGTGTTTATGAAGGGCGTGCAGCTGGTGACGCTCGAGTCTCTCCGTCTCGACCGTATGAACCTCGCTGCCTCCAAGATTCAGAGGGCCGTGCGGCTCTTCCTCTGGAAGCAGGAGCGCAAGCGGGCTGCTGTTGTCATTCAAAAGCACTGGAGAGGTGCGTTATGGTGTGGTGTGGTGTGGTGTGGTGTCTTGTCTGTTCTTTGACTGCTTATTGTTCGAAATGTTCTTTCTTTGGAAGTAAGAGTGCATGTGAGCGGCCACTCACATCCATCCACAAATGCTGAAGAGGTGCGGTGAGTTGCAGTGCAGTGCGGTGCGGAGTGGTATGATGCATGCAAGGCGGTTCATTGTCTGGCATGCTTGCTATTCTGTTCAAGAGTTTTTCTTGAACAATTTGGCTTAGAAGCCTCTTGCGCTGGAGGCAGCAGCACATGCAATGCAAGCTGGTGCAGGAATTGAGGCGAGTTTTGCTGAGGTGCACGATGCAGCAGCTGTATTCCTCCAGAAGCACCTAAATTATCAAGTGGCATAGGATGCCACTTGTCAAATGCGAGTGGGTAGAACGGATCTTGCCACTTGTACACATTCCTCTTAAAAAACCTATCATGCGTTCTCAAGACTCTACCTACTTTAACAATTTATTCAAATCCTACCTACTTAGGTTCACTCTTAATCTTAGCATCATATGAACTAGACACCTGAAAACAGCCACAACAATATGGGCTATATTGTCACAAGCAGCAGCTTCAACCATGGTATCAAGTAGCAGGAGCTTCAACCATGGTATCAAACAGCAGCAGCTTCAATCATGGTATCAAGCAGCAGCAGCTTCAACCGTGAGATCAAGTAGCAGCAGCTTTAACCATGATGTTTTAGAGTGTTGCTGCTGTTGCTTGATACCGTGGTTGAAGTTGCTGCTGCTTGATACCATGATTGAATCTGCCGCTGCTTGATACCATGGTTGTAGTTGCTGCTGCTTGATACAAACTGCTGCTGCTTGATACCATGGTTGAAGCCGCTGCTGCTTGATTCCATGGTTGAAGCTGCTGCTACTTGATACCATGGTTGAAGCTGCTGCTTGTGACAACATTAGTCCATATTGTTGTGGCTGTTTCAGGCTGTCTAGTTCATTTGATGCTAAGATTAGGAGTGAACTTAAGATGGTAGAATCTGAGTAAATTGTTAAAGTATGCAGGGTCTTGAGAAGGTATAATAGGTTTTTTAAGAGGTGGTCTTACCATGCATCGCAGTTGAGTCAGGAATGTGTACAAGTGGCAAGATCACTTCCACCCACTCGCAGTTGCCAAATGGCATCTCCTATGCCACGCGGCAGCCATTGTGATTCAGAAGCACGTGCTACGCTTCCTGATGGAGAAGCGCTTCTGGGAGCTCAAGTGAACTTGCAGCTGTCACTCACTCTCTCACGCCGTACTGTACTGCATGCTTCTTCTTTCACCCCACACCCTTCCCTCTCCCCTACTTGTTCCTCTTTACCCATGCCACCCGCCACTCGCAGCCTACCGAGCTAGGAAGCTATTGAGGGAGTTGAGGGAGGACGCAGCAGCCCTTGTCATTCAGAAGCACGTGCGGCGTTTCCTAATGGAGAAGCGCTTCTGGGAGCTCAAGTTTGCAGCGATCGTGATTCAGAAGAATGTGCGCATGCAGCAGGCGAGAAAACGATACATCCTGCTCAGGAGGACGCTAGCTACCATTGTCATTCAGGTGTGTGGAACGGTTGAAAGCGGTGCGGCTGTGCCAGTGTCTCGGGCTTGGTGCGACTAAGGACTTTTAGCAGCGATTGTCATTCAGAAGAACGTGCGCATGCAGCAAGCGAGGAAGCGGTACATCTTGCTCGGGGGGGTGCTGGCCACCATCGTCATTCAGGTGTGTGGGACGGTTGAAAGTGGTGACAGTGTCTCGGGCCTGGTGTGACTAAGGGCTTTTAGCAGTGATTGTGATTCAAAAGAACGTGCGCATGCAGCAGGTGAGAAAACGGTGCATCCTGCTCAGGAGATCGCTGGCAACTGTCGTCATTCAGGTGTGTGGGACGGTTCAACGCGGTGACAGTGTTTTGGGACGGTTCAACGCGGTGACAGTGTTTTGGGCAGGGTGTGTCTAGGGGTTCTTAAACGCGACTTTCATGCAGCAGGAAAGGACGTGGTATACTCTCCCCCAACCCCAAACCGCCTTTCCTACCCAAACCCCTCCGCCACCTCCCATCTGCAGCGCTACTGGCCGGGGCACAGGGTGCGCAGGCCATGGGGCGCCATGAAGCGGTGCCTTCGGGTGAAGGTGAAGTGATTACCTCATCCCTTTCCCCCATTCCCCTCACTCCCCACAATCCCCTCCTGAACCTCTCACCTACAGCGCTACTGGCGGGGCCATAGGGTGCGCAAGCCGTGGGGTGCCATGCGGCGGTGCCTGCAAGTGAAGGTGGCTCGGATGAGATTGAAGAAGATGAAGGAGGTGAGCGGTGGAGGGAATGAGGGGAGGTTGCTAGTGTTAGAGCCTTGGTGGGATGGGAAAAGAGGTGGTGCCTGCAAGTGAAGGTGGCGCGGATGAGACTGAAGAAGATGAAGGAGGTGAGCGGTGGAGGGAATGAGGGGAGGTTGCTAGTGTTAGAGCCTTGGTGAGATGGGAAATGAGGCGGTGCCTGCAGGTGAAGGTGGTTCGTATGAGACTGAAGACGATGAAAGAAGGAGGTGCATTTTGCAAGGAGTAAGATGCGATGAAACATTGCAATCTTACTCCATTTGGCACTGGTGTCTTCCCCTCCCCCGCCCCGCCTGCAGGCGGCACAGCGGGCAGCGCTGCTTGCTCTGTCCCTTCCTTTCCCCAACCCCTTTCCTCTCACTGCCTCCACTTTCATCCCACCTGCTCCTCGTCCTCCTCCCTCTCCTTTTTTGTCCCTTCTGTTGTCCTAGCTCTTTTTTTGTCGCTCAAAAACCTCCGCGCTTTAGCAGGCTTGATGCGGTTTTTTGTCGCTCAAAAAAACCTCCTCCTTCTCCTCCTCCTCATTTCTTGATCTTGTCTCCTCTCCTCTGCCACACCTGCAGGCGGCACAGCGGGCGGCACTGCTTGCCCCGGCGCGCACCAAGGTGGAAGCTTCAATGGACGAGCTGCGCATCGCTATGCTGCGCGGCCTCAAGGTGGGTTGATTAGCTAGCAGGTTTGAGGCTTAAGTCCAGAGTTTCAGGAAGAGGTGACTGGGTGGGCCGTGTGTGTTGAGACTTGCTCCGCTATGCACCAACCAAGGTGGAAGCTTCCATGGACGAGCTGCGCATCGCCATGCTGCGTGGCCTCAAGGTGGGTTGATTGCTAGCAGTGTGGAGGATTAGGCAGGGGCGTCAGGACGTTATTGGGCCGTGTGTGCTGCGATTTGCTCTGCTGCGCTTCAACCAAGGTGGAGGCTTCCATGGACTGGACGAGCTGCGCATCGCTATGCTGCGTGGCCTCAAAGTGGGTAGGTTGGTTGCGAGCAGTGTAGAGAAGCAGGGTGTGTGTTGGGTGTGTTGAATTGAGGATTGAGGCAGCCATGAATAGCGAAGGAGTTGAAGATGTTAGAAGCTGCGTCTGAGTCGACTCAAAGGCGGAGTTGAAAAAGTTGCACTAAATCGATGTGAGTACAAAGTCATAGAGGTGGTTGGGTTTAAACCCCGTCTGAACCTAGGGTGTGTTAAGTCTAGGAGCAAACTCCAAAATGAATCTAAACCGAACCGGAAATGAAGCGAGGTCTTAAACTGGCCGGAAAATCATTTAGGGCCAGAATAAGATACAGAGCGAAGGCTAGCCTACTCCAAGAGGGTGTGTGTTGGTGTGCTGCGCCGCACGCATCAATGTGCACTGCTCGGCTGGCTGAAATTCTAGGCTGGCAGGGCGCACCTGGCTAGGCATGCAGTCTTGCAATGTGTTTGCGTGTTGGGAGACGTGCTCTGCCAACGCACCAACCAAGGTAGAAGCTCCCTTGGCTGTGGTCTTGCTATGTGGACGAGCTGCGCTTCACTATGCTGCGCTTCACTATGCTGCGCTTCACTATGCTGCGCTTCACTATGCTGCGCTTCACTATGCTGCGCTTCACTATGCTGCGCTTCACTATGCTGTGCTTCACTATGCTGCGCTTCACTATGCTGCGCTTCACTATGCTGCGCTTCACTATGCTGCGCTTCACTATGCTGCGCTTCACCGTGCTGCGCTTCATTCTGCTGCGCTTCAATATTCTGCGCTTCACTATGCTGCGCTTCACTATGCTGCGCTTCACTATGCTGCGCTTCACTATGCTGCGCTTCACCGTGCTGCGCTTCATTCTGCTGCGCTTCAATATTCTGCGCTTCACTATGCTGCGCTTCACTATGCTGCGCTTCACTCTGCTGCGCTTCACTCTGCTGCGCTTCACTATGCTGCGCTTCACTATGCTGCGCTTCACTATGCTGCGCTTCACTATGCTGCGCTTCACTATGCTGCGCTTCACTGTGCTGCGCTTCATTATGCTGCGCTTCATTATGCTGCGCTTCACTATTCTGCGCTTCAATATTCTGCGCTTCACTATGCTGCGCTTCACTATGCTGCGCTTCACTATGCTGCGCCGCATCAAGGTGCGTCTCCCGGGGGGGTCTGCACTGCCCTTCCCTTTCCTTCCCCCCTTCCTCCCCACCCTACCTCCCCAGCAACACGAGGAGAAGAAGCGGCAAGAGGCAGAGGAGTCAGTCAAGTGCCTCACCCACGAGATGGCAGCTCTCAACCAGGAAATCTCCTACCCCCTCCCATCCTGACACTTCCCCTCATGCCTCTCCCTTCCCCTTTTTCCTCTCCCCTCCCCAGCAACGCAAGGACAAGAAGCGGCACGAGGCAGAGGAGTCAGTCCAGCGCCTCATCTCGTGCTCTCTCCCTTTCCCCCCTCCTCCCTCCCACTCAGCAACGCGAGGAGAAGAAGCGGCATGAGGCAGAGGAGTCAGTCAAGCGCCTCACCCACGAGATGGCAACCTTAAACCACGAGATCTCTCAGCTAAAAGCCGCTCTTAACAAAGAGAAGCACCGGGCAGAGAAAGCCGAGGAGCTCCTGAAACTCGTCCCCCGCAGCGTTTTACAGCAGACTGTCGCCCACCAGGGCTTCCCCCGTGCACTTTCCCGAACGGGAAGTGTTTCCTCTTATAGCAACTACCTCCGATCCAGGGGTCCCACTGCCCCGTCCAGCCCCAAGGTTGAAGGAGGGGGGTGGGGAGCAGGCGGCGGAGGGGCAGAAGGGGAAAGAGGAGGAGGCGGGGGAGTGGGAGCAGAGGCTACTGGGAGCGTTTTGTCTGCAGCAGCAGCGGCGCTTGGCGGCGGGCATAGCAGTAGCGCGGGGGGTCCAACAGAGCATCCCACAGAGCATCCTGAGTTGAGAATCCCGGCTGCTCGAAGCAAAGGCGGAGGGGGATCAGGATCAGTGCCTGCTGCCCGGTCTCTCCGACCCAGCCCGAGCGCCAAAATCTCGCCTTCTTTCTCCTCCGCATCCTCCTCCCTGTCGGGAAGTCCATCGGTGTTTGTGCCTTCTGCTCGATCTCTCCGACCCAGCCCGAGCGCCAGAATCCCACCTTCTTTCCCCCCTTCCTCCGTGTCGGGAAGTCAAGCGGTTGGGCGCGGTTCAGTGGTTAAGCCGCCGCCATCTCGAGGGCCTAGCGTGGGCGGCAGCAGTGGTGGTGGTGGTGGCTGTAGCGGCGATGGGATGCACAGCCCGCTACAGCCGGGCCCAGAGCTGCTTGTTGCTGCTGGGGAGCAGACTGGGAGCCTAAGTGCAGGTGGTGATGGCTCTGGTGATGATGGTGCTGCAGTTGCCACTGTAGCCGCTGCTGACGTGGCCGGTGCTGATTTGGCGAGTGCTGATGTGGCTGGTGCTGTTAAAACCGGGCTGGGAGCAGACCTGGACGGAGTGCGGCACTCGTGGAAAGTCCTCGCGACCCTCTCTGATGATGACGTGGCAGCTCCTCCTGCTGCTGCTGCGTGGCAGCAGGCTTCCCAAGGCAGTCGAAGCACCTCCCACGTGGTCAGCGGCACCACCCGCAGCAACAGCCTGCAGAAAGCATTAGCAGGGACAGGAAGCATGTCAATGAAAGAAGGCAGGTTGGGGGCCGCTGGGGGGATCGGCAGCAGCAGCAGCAGGAACCTTGGGGGGAACAGCAGCAAGGGTTTCTCAGGGAGCGGCAGTGGCAGTGGGAGCGGAAGCAGGAGCGGGAGGGGGATTGCAGGCAGCAGGTCAATGCGATGGGGCGCACATGCGTCTCGGCTGAGCCATATGTCCACTGCAGGAGAGGTGGGAGAGGTCTCTGCTGCCATGGGGATCTTCATGGTTGCTACAACTCGGGAGGAAGGCTTGGGAGGTTTGAAAGAGGATGGAGCAGAGGGAGGAGGAGGAGGAGGAGCAGGAGAAGCGGCAGCAGGAGGAGCGGAAGCAGGTGGGAAAAGCAGCAGCCCTTGGTCTCGCGTGCGTGCTCTGGCCCCCAAGATCCTGCAAGTCGCGTCTGAAACAGGCGCAGGCGGAGCAGGAGGAGGAGGAGCAGTAAGAGGAGCAGGAGGGATGGGCATGGGCATGGGAGGGGGTTCATCCTCGTCATGGAGTGGCATGTTTGCAGCTATGGCACGCAGTGTGGTACAGTTAGAGGAGCTTAGAGAAGAGGTGGTCGCGATGAGAGGGGCTTTGGGGGAGACGGAGAGGAGGCTACAGGAGGCAGAGGAGAGGGCGGAGAGGGCGGAAGGGGAGGTGCGGGAGAAGGGAGAGGAGGTGGAGGAGTTGAGAGGGCAGGTGGGCAATCTTATGGAGCGACTCAAGAGGTGAGGAAAGTGGTGAGGGGGGGGGGAGCGGGAGGGGGAAGGGGAGGGACGGGATAGGAGGGGAAGGGAGGGGGGATGGGTGACGGTTCCGTTGGGGACTTGGCTTTTGAGAATTCTCAAAAGTCACTCGAATATGGGGGGATGGGTGACAGTTTGGTTGGGGACTAGGGTTGAGGGAGAGGAAAAGTGAGGGAGAGGAGCGAGGAGGTGGAGGAGTTGAGGGGGCGAGTGCGCGTTTTTGGGGAGCGACTCACGCGGTGAGCACCTGGGGGAGGGAAGAAGGGGAGAGGGGGGTAGATAGAGAAGGGTTGGGATGGGTGGAGATGGTTGGACGATTTGTGCCTTAGATTCGACTCAAAACACGATTTGTGTCGTTTGATCTTGCTGTCTCAACCATGTAACCATGTAACCATGTGTGGTTATGAACCCACACACTCGCTGTCTAAACTCCTTGGCTTCATGTTTCCCTTCTCCCCTCCTCTCCATTTGTTGACTCTTGTACGCTCCTGACTTGAGTGCTTTTGACTCTTGAGCCAGACATGTTTTTTCACTCTTGGTGCTTTTGACTCAAGCTCACCTCCCTTTTCCCAGAAAAAACAGCAACATGGGCCAACGGTCATGGGACCTCTCTCAGCTTCCATTCCAAGCGTCTCTCCTCTCCCTCCCTCCCCTCCCTTTTCCTCAATTCCCCCATCCACCCCACCAGCAAGAACAGCAACAAGGGCCAACGGTCATGGGACCTCTCTCAGCTTCCATTCCAAGCGTCTCTCCTCTCCACTCCCCACTTCCTGTTTCGCCCGTTTCAGCAAGGACAATGACATGTGCCAACTGTCAGAGAGACTCCCTCTCGCAGCACTTTTGAGTCGACCCAAAAGACCCCCTCTCGCAGCACTTTTGAGTCGACCCAAAAGACCCCCTCTCGCAGCACTTTTGAGTCGACCCAAAAGACCCCCTCTCACAGCACTTTTGAGTCGACCCAAAAGACCCCCTCTTGCAGCACTTTTGAGTCGACCCAAAAGACCCCCTCTCGCAGCACTTTTGAGTCGACCCAAAAGACCCCCTCTCGCAGCACTTTTGAGTCGACCCAAAAGACCCCCTCTCGCAGCACTTTTGAGTCGACCCAAAAGACCCCCTCTCGCAGCACTTTTGAGTCGACCCAAAAGACCCCCTCTCGCAGCACCGCTTTCACTCGAACCTCGTCAGCTCGCTTCACCTCCCTGCCCTGGCTGTCCTCCCCTCCCTGCCTTCCCCACTCCCCACTTCCCACGCACCCATTCATCCCACCAGCAAGGACAACGAATGACGTGCGCCAGCTGTCAGAAACCCTCTTCACAACTCTCTTCACCTCGCAGCCCTGGCTGTCCTTCCCTTCCTGCCTTCCCCGTTCTCTACTCCCCACCCACGCATGGACCCCTTTCAGCAAGGACAATGACGTGCGCCAGCTGTCAGAAACCCTCTTCACAACTCTCTTTCAAATGCCTCTCCACCACACCTCCCTCCCCGCTCCCCACCCACCCTCTCTTCCCCTCCCTGTCCTCTCCCTGTCCTTCCCTTTCCCCCACCCGCCCCTTCCCCCCTTCCAGCAAGGACAACGACGTGCGCCAGCTGTCAGAAACCCTCTCGCAGCACCGCGCCCAATCGGCCTCCGCTGCTGCCGCCGCTACTGCACATTCTTCTAGCACAGCTGCCATTTCCGCACATCATGCTACCGCACATTCTGCCGCACATTCTGGTGTGCAGTCAACAGGGGGACCAGCACCAGCAGCAGCGCCGGCAGCAGCAGGAGCAGCAGGGTTCAAGCCCGCTCTGGCCCGATTTGCAGCGGCCAATCTAGCCCCTGTGAAAACCGCTCCTGGTGGTAAGGCGACCCCCAGTGGCGGTGTTTCCCCCCGCCCCATTCCCCCCATCTCCGTTCACTCCTCCTACCCCCAGCCCCCCGCCTCGCCAACTCACCCCCAGCAACCAGCGGCAACAGCAGGAGCAGGGGGAGCAGGAGCACAATCAGGATCGGAATCGAGAGCAGTAGAGTCGGGAGCAACAAGTTCGGGAGCAAGAGAGGGAGAGACAGGAGAAGCAGGGTCAAAGGATTCAGGAGCAATGGATTCAGGAGGAGCAGGGGATTCGGCGTCAGCGCTTGCGGTGTGGAGTGTGGCTCGAGTGGCCAGTGGGGAGGCGAGTGGGGAGATGATGGAAAACGCATCAAAATCGCTGGCTGCTATTGAGTATGATGACGCTTCCATTGCTCGCATCCAGGAAAACCCCCCGGTGAGTGCTTGCTTGCTGCTGTCTATCTCATGGTTGTTTCTCTCATGTGTGGGTTTCTCTACCCAAGGGGCATCCAGCTCGCTGGCTGCTATAGAGTACGACAGTGCTGCCGTTGCTCGCATCCAGGAAAACCCCCCGGTGAGTGCTTGCGCGCTGCTCTCTCTCTCTCTCTCCCATGCATGTTTCTCTTGTGTGTGGGTGTGTCAAGACATGCACGTTTCTCTCTTATGCAGGAGCTCAGTTTTACGGTGCTGCTGCCATTGCTCTGAATGGGCTGGTTTGGTTCTGGCAAGAAGTTACTCAGGCCCTCTCTCCCTCCCTTCCTCCCCCCCTCCCTCTAGTTTTGAGACGTCTCAAAACTCGCTCTGAATGGGCTGGTTTTTCTCTGGCAAGAAGTTACTCAGGCCCTCTCTCCCTCCCTCCCCCCTCCCTCTCTTCCTCCCTTCTTCCCCTCCTCCCTCCCCCCACCTCCCCCAGGAGTCCGTTCTCATATTCCTCACCACGCACATTCTCTCGGCCTCTCCCCCCAAGGCCTCCCTCTGGCAGCCCCAGCCACCTATCACTCTCTTTGAGACATCTCAAACTCAACTATCCCCTACCCCTCTCCTTCCCTCCCCCACTTCCCACAGGAGTCCGTTCTCATATTCCTCACTACGCACATCATCGGCCTCTCCCCCCAAGGCCTCCCTCTGGCCGCCCCAGCCATCTACCGCTCCCTCCTCCACTTTGGTGCCTTCCCCCCCGCCTCCTCCCCCTCCGCCCCCGCCCTCCTCTCCTCCACCATTCGCCACCTGCAAGCCGCCATCCTTCCCGAAGAGGAAACCCTTGCCATTTCGGGAGAAGGGGTGGGGCCGGGTGGGGTGCCGGCTGTGAGGGTGAACGAGCAGTGCTACTGGTTGTCGAATGTCTCGTGCCTGATGTTGCTGGTCGAAGTGGTGTATAAACCTGCTGCTGCTACTGCTGCGGACAAGCCTAAGGCTGCTGCTGGGTCTAACTGGTTCACAAACATGTTTCAGGTGCGCTTAGAATGTTTCAGGTGTGGAACGGTGAAAGAGCAGTGCTACTGGCAGTCGAATGTGGCATGTCTGATGCTGCTGGTTGAGGTGGTATATGAACCTGCCGCTGCTGCAGCTGCAGAAAAGCCCAAGCCTGCTGCTGGGTCCAACTGGTTCACGAACCTGCCCGCTTCACTTCCCCTCTTTCTTCCTCTCAGGCCCCGTCATTCAGCGATGCAACTCGTCAGCATCATCAGCAGCAGCAGCCAGCGCTGGGCTCAGTTGAATTCTTGGAGTTCAAGCAGAAGCTCGCAGATCTGCTGGATGATGCCTTTCTGGAGCTCCGTGCTTCCGTCAACCTTGAACTGCAGACCCTTGTCTCGCTCCTAGCGCAGGTAAGGAGCTCTAATCCTCTTGTTCCCTTCCCCACCTGTCCTGTTTCCCCCTCCTTTCCCCTCCCAGGCCCCGTCATTCAGCGATGCAACTCGTCAGCACCAGCAGCACCAACAGCAGCAGCAGCCAGCACTGGGCTCGGTGGAGTTCCTCGTGTTCAAGCAGGAGCTCGCAGTGCTGCTGGACGATGCGTTTCTGGAGCTCCGTGCATCTGTCAACCTTGAATTGCAGACTCTGGTCTCCCTCTTGGCACAGGTATTGTGTGATGTTTGTACAGTTTGTCTTGTACAACTAGCACCTTATGAGGGGAGTCACTCTACACTGGGAGATGAACTACAGAGGAAGACACGGGTGGTAGAGTGATCGTAGCGTTCTTTGTGTTCTCTAGCACTTATGTATTCACATTGAAAGTTGGCAAGAGCTTCACTAGCAAAGGTTGAGAACAATGATGTAAAGATGGTAGACAGGAATGACTTCCTCAGAGCCTAGCAACCTAGCAAACCAGCAGGTCGACCGACAGCGCAGCAAGTCGACGGCGCGCCAACGCAGCTTGATGGCAGCTTGCCAACGCTGCAGCAAGGCGACTTGCCAGCGTTACGACCGCGTGTGACCAGAGCGCATGTGCGCACCCACTTCGCAAGTGCGTATAGCCGGTTGAGCACATTGTGCACCGCTCCGGACATTGCGCAGGTGCCAAGTCGACCGCATGCCGACGGTTGCGCCTGTTGAGCCACGTCGACTTCGGGATACCAGCCCGACGTTCGCGCACCTCCGCAGGACTTCGTCGTCCGAGTTACTCGGTCGACCGGAAAACTCCTTAGTCGGTGTCGACCTGACCGTCGGTGGACGCCCGCTGGTCGACGAGCTCCCTCGTTGACCACCCTGGTTGGAGCCACCAGCCGACTTCCCCAAGTCGGCGTCCCCCAGGTCGACAAACCCTTTCGTCGATTACACTAGTAGAAATCGGCCACCGTTTCCCTCGCCGCCGGCATGCGGTGGTCCCGCGCAGGTCGACCAACTTCGTCGACCTGCTCGCCTAGGTCGGCGTCGCCCATTGCAGAAGGTGAACTGCACTTCCCTCGCACCCGACCACAAAGTCGGTTTCGCCCAAGTGAGAGCGGGGCCAACTCCCGTCAACACCTTATCTCCTCATGCTCAAGCAGGAGCTTTGTGGGCGCCTTTCTAGAGCTCCAGGCGTCTTTCAACCTCAAATCGCAGATCCCCATGTCTCTTATCGCTCAGGGAGTCGTGGTTGGTGCATGTAATCATCTCCTCCCCATCCATCCCCTCCCCATCACCCCTTTCCTATCCAACTTGTTCCCATCCGCTCCCTCTCCCCTTCAGAGCCCCACCGCAAACGCACAGCACATGCGCGAGTTCTGGGCGGCAGCGCTTGTCTCGTTGCGGAGCGCGGTGGGGTGCATGCAAGCCAACCGCGTGCCGACCGTGCTGGCCCGCCATCTCCTCTGGCAGGTGTTGCACTTCCTGGACGTGCGCCTCTTCAACGGGTGAGTCACTCCTCTCCATCTGATGGCCTTTTCTGCTAAACAGGTAAGCAGTACTGCTCCCATCCCTCCGCGTGCCGACCGTGTTGGCCCGCCACCTGCTGTGGCAGGTGCTGCACTTCCTCGACGTGCGCCTCTTCAACGGGTGAGTGATTGGACACTCAACACGCGTGTCGCACGACCAGCAATGACGAGATGTCGCACGACAAGCGGTGACGGGGATGTCGCACGACCAGCGGTGACGGGGATGTCGCACCACCAGCAGTGACGGGATGTCGCACTATCAGCCTGAAGCTCTTTCCGCTTGAAGCTATTTCCGCTTGAAGATTTTTCCGCTTGAAGCTATTTCCGCTTGAAGATTTTTCCGCTTGAAGCTCTTTCCGCTTGAAGTTCTTTCCGCTTGAAGCTCTTTCTGCGCTTGTAGAGATGATCTTGCATACCGTATTGTGGAACGTCGCGGTAATATGTTGCCGCGAAAATCCGTCAGCACACGGTTCAGCCCGAAACACTTGGCAGCTCACTCCTCACGACACCTACCCAACCCACCCCATACCCTCTAACTCAACGCCGCCTCATGCTTCGGGCCTCCCCGTGTACTTCAGGTAGTTTCAGGAGCTCATTGAATTGGAGCTCTTTGAAAATCCTTCCGTGACTTTGAGAAGGAAGGAAAAAAACGATACAAATGCAATATCGCTAGATTATATGGTGCTCTGGCAGGTGCTGCACTTCCTGCACCGTGCTGGCCCGCCACCTGCTGTGGCAGGTGCTGCACTTCCTGGACGTGCGGCTCTCCAACGGGTGAGGCGTTTAGTAGCCTCTGCAGTTCATCGGGTATGCATGCCGAGCCGACCCATTCCCCCCGCGTGTCAAAGCACACCCGGGGTGAGTCGTTGGGTAACCCTTGGGGTTCATCAGGTAACCGTGTTGCTCTCAACCCTCCGCATGCCGGCGGTGCTGGCGGTGCCGGCGGTGCTGGCGGTGCTGGCGGTGCCGGCGGTGCTGGCCTGCTGGCCTGTCGCCTGCTCTGCCTCTGAGAGTTCCTCCCGTCCGCCCCTCCTTCCTTCATGCCTCCTCTCCTCCCACCAACAGCCTCATGCTGCGAAGCCACTGGTGTCCCATCACACTCGCCAATGGTGAAGCCACGGAGCAAGGGCTGCTGGCACTGGAAGCATTGCTGTCAGAGCACGTGCACCCGTGGCTGGATGGAGCAGCAGCGTGCACACCACGTGCACCCGTGCTTCACTGCCTGCCTCCCCTCCTCACCTACTTCTCTCCTTCCTTCATGCTTGCCCCCTCACCCCAACAGCCTCATGCTGCGAAGCCACTGGTGTCCCATCACACTCGCCAATGGTGAAGCCACGGAGCAAGGGCTGCTGGCACTGGAAGCATTGCTGTCAGAGCACGTGCACCCGTGGCTGGATGGAGCAGCAGCGTGCACACCACGTGCACCCGTGCTTCACTGCCTGCCTCCCCTCCTCACCTACTTCTCTCCTTCCTTCATGCTTGCCCCCTCACCCCAACAGCCTCATGCTGCGAAGCCACTGGTGTCCCATCACACTCGCCAATGGTGAAGCCACGGAGCAAGGGCTGCTGGCACTGGAAGCATTGCTGTCAGAGCACGTGCACCCGTGGCTGGATGGAGCAGCAGCGTGCACACCACGTGCACCCGTGCTTCACTGCCTGCCTCCCCTCCTCACCTACTTCTCTCCTTCCTTCATGCTTGCCCCCTCACCCCAACAGCCTCATGCTGCGAAGCCACTGGTGTCCCATCACACTCGCCAATGGTGAAGCCACGGAGCAAGGGCTGCTGGCACTGGAAGCATTGCTGTCAGAGCACGTGCACCCGTGGCTGGATGGAGCAGCAGCGTGCACACCACGTGCACCCGTGCTTCACTGCCTGCCTCCCCTCCTCACCTACTTCTCTCCTTCCTTCATGCTTGCCCCCTCACCCCAACAGCCTCATGCTGCGAAGCCACTGGTGTCCCATCACACTCGCCAATGGTGAAGCCACGGAGCAAGGGCTGCTGGCACTGGAAGCATTGCTGTCAGAGCACGTGCACCCGTGGCTGGATGGAGCAGCAGCGTGCACACCACGTGCACCCGTGCTTCACTGCCTGCCTCCCCTCCTCACCTACTTCTCTCCTTCCTTCATGCTTGCCCCCTCACCCCAACAGCCTCATGCTGCGAAGCCACTGGTGTCCCATCACACTCGCCAATGGTGAAGCCACGGAGCAAGGGCTGCTGGCACTGGAAGCATTGCTGTCAGAGCACGTGCACCCGTGGCTGGATGGAGCAGCAGCGTGCACACCACGTGCACCCGTGCTTCACTGCCTGCCTCCCCTCCTCACCTACTTCTCTCCTTCCTTCATGCTTGCCCCCTCACCCCAACAGCCTCATGCTGCGAAGCCACTGGTGTCCCATCACACTCGCCAATGGTGAAGCCACGGAGCAAGGGCTGCTGGCACTGGAAGCATTGCTGTCAGAGCACGTGCACCCGTGGCTGGATGGAGCAGCAGCGTGCACACCACGTGCACCCGTGCTTCACTGCCTGCCTCCCCTCCTCACCTACTTCTCTCCTTCCTTCATGCTTGCCCCCTCACCCCAACAGCCTCATGCTGCGAAGCCACTGGTGTCCCATCACACTCGCCAATGGTGAAGCCACGGAGCAAGGGCTGCTGGCACTGGAAGCATTGCTGTCAGAGCACGTGCACCCGTGGCTGGATGGAGCAGCAGCGTGCACACCACGTGCACCCGTGCTTCACTGCCTGCCTCCCCTCCTCACCTACTTCTCTCCTTCCTTCATGCTTGCCCCCTCACCCCAACAGCCTCATGCTGCGAAGCCACTGGTGTCCCATCACACTCGCCAATGGTGAAGCCACGGAGCAAGGGCTGCTGGCACTGGAAGCATTGCTGTCAGAGCACGTGCACCCGTGGCTGGATGGAGCAGCAGCGTGCACACCACGTGCACCCGTGCTTCACTGCCTGCCTCCCCTCCTCACCTACTTCTCTCCTTCCTTCATGCTTGCCCCCTCACCCCAACAGCCTCATGCTGCGAAGCCACTGGTGTCCCATCACACTCGCCAATGGTGAAGCCACGGAGCAAGGGCTGCTGGCACTGGAAGCATTGCTGTCAGAGCACGTGCACCCGTGGCTGGATGGAGCAGCAGCGTGCACACCACGTGCACCCGTGCTTCACTGCCTGCCTCCCCTCCTCACCTACTTCTCTCCTTCCTTCATGCTTGCCCCCTCACCCCAACAGCCTCATGCTGCGAAGCCACTGGTGTCCCATCACACTCGCCAATGGTGAAGCCACGGAGCAAGGGCTGCTGGCACTGGAAGCATTGCTGTCAGAGCACGTGCACCCGTGGCTGGATGGAGCAGCAGCGTGCACACCACGTGCACCCGTGCTTCACTGCCTGCCTCCCCTCCTCACCTACTTCTCTCCTTCCTTCATGCTTGCCCCCTCACCCCAACAGCCTCATGCTGCGAAGCCACTGGTGTCCCATCACACTCGCCAATGGTGAAGCCACGGAGCAAGGGCTGCTGGCACTGGAAGCATTGCTGTCAGAGCACGTGCACCCGTGGCTGGATGGAGCAGCAGCGTGCACACCACGTGCACCCGTGCTTCACTGCCTGCCTCCCCTCCTCACCTACTTCTCTCCTTCCTTCATGCTTGCCCCCTCACCCCAACAGCCTCATGCTGCGAAGCCACTGGTGTCCCATCACACTCGCCAATGGTGAAGCCACGGAGCAAGGGCTGCTGGCACTGGAAGCATTGCTGTCAGAGCACGTGCACCCGTGGCTGGATGGAGCAGCAGCGTGCACACCACGTGCACCCGTGCTTCACTGCCTGCCTCCCCTCCTCACCTACTTCTCTCCTTCCTTCATGCTTGCCCCCTCACCCCAACAGCCTCATGCTGCGAAGCCACTGGTGTCCCATCACACTCGCCAATGGTGAAGCCACGGAGCAAGGGCTGCTGGCACTGGAAGCATTGCTGTCAGAGCACGTGCACCCGTGGCTGGATGGAGCAGCAGCGTGCACACCACGTGCACCCGTGCTTCACTGCCTGCCTCCCCTCCTCACCTACTTCTCTCCTTCCTTCATGCTTGCCCCCTCACCCCAACAGCCTCATGCTGCGAAGCCACTGGTGTCCCATCACACTCGCCAATGGTGAAGCCACGGAGCAAGGGCTGCTGGCACTGGAAGCATTGCTGTCAGAGCACGTGCACCCGTGGCTGGATGGAGCAGCAGCGTGCACACCACGTGCACCCGTGCTTCACTGCCTGCCTCCCCTCCTCACCTACTTCTCTCCTTCCTTCATGCTTGCCCCCTCACCCCAACAGCCTCATGCTGCGAAGCCACTGGTGTCCCATCACACTCGCCAATGGTGAAGCCACGGAGCAAGGGCTGCTGGCACTGGAAGCATTGCTGTCAGAGCACGTGCACCCGTGGCTGGATGGAGCAGCAGCGTGCACACCACGTGCACCCGTGCTTCACTGCCTGCCTCCCCTCCTCACCTACTTCTCTCCTTCCTTCATGCTTGCCCCCTCACCCCAACAGCCTCATGCTGCGAAGCCACTGGTGTCCCATCACACTCGCCAATGGTGAAGCCACGGAGCAAGGGCTGCTGGCACTGGAAGCATTGCTGTCAGAGCACGTGCACCCGTGGCTGGATGGAGCAGCAGCGTGCACACCACGTGCACCCGTGCTTCACTGCCTGCCTCCCCTCCTCACCTACTTCTCTCCTTCCTTCATGCTTGCCCCCTCACCCCAACAGCCTCATGCTGCGAAGCCACTGGTGTCCCATCACACTCGCCAATGGTGAAGCCACGGAGCAAGGGCTGCTGGCACTGGAAGCATTGCTGTCAGAGCACGTGCACCCGTGGCTGGATGGAGCAGCAGCGTGCACACCACGTGCACCCGTGCTTCACTGCCTGCCTCCCCTCCTCACCTACTTCTCTCCTTCCTTCATGCTTGCCCCCTCACCCCAACAGCCTCATGC